AACTGTCCAACCAGTCTTAGGACTGATGACCTTATGATGATGATGAATTAAAAACAGGTATATGGGAGGGAACTAGGCATTATCCATTTGAATTTAATAAATACGCAGTGAATGTATGATATTTCTTTTAAATAATGTTTAATTGGATTCTACGACAGTAGGCACCTAACTATCGTAAGTAGCGCGCTTGAAAAACCCACAATTACAACTTTCTACTTCCAATTGCTACGTTCTGGTCGCAGTTGATGCAGCTGGAAATTCCTACATACTTATTTGAGTATCTACTTCCACACCCAAAACTATACGTTTTTGGAAGAACAGTGGATAGTATTAAATTAGCGCCAAGAGCAACAGAAATTGAACAAATAAAAATTTAATTTGTTTAAGAATTACTACAAACACGTTAATGAACGCCATCTGTAGTAATAATTTGGTAAAACCTGTTTTATGTTATTCTATACGTTCAGTTAAATCGTTTTGCCGTAAAATTTTTTATACTTATTAGCCTGAGCGTCGACCTTCTGATAAGATGTAAAATTTTGGAAAATACTAAATGCTATGAAACAGAGTTACGTGTTAGAATGTATCGACGTTATCTCTGACGTAGGTGTTGATATATAGCGAACTTTTATTTTAACTTGCAGTAAAGAATAAGAAAGAAAAACTGACATACTTCCGAACAATAGAGTATACCAACTATGTAAATTGTAAAAGTTTGCGATTCTTTTTATGTTGGGTAGACAAGCCTTGCTTTAAACAACCGGATTGAAGAACATAGATTCAGTATGAAAAATAATAAAAGTGCATAAAGAATGCAGAACACTGTATTTCTTAGATTCGTAGAATTCATATATCAAGAATACTGTTTTATACACTATTATCATCTTCAAGCGATTTTTGTTATTCAAATTTTTACATGTACCTGTAAAAAATTAAGCTTATAATGATACCGAACATAATATGTATCACGTGGAACGTAATATCATCTGCAGTTTTTGAGAGAAACGACTGTAGTAGACAGGACGACAGACATTTATTAGTTAAACACGAAAACATGCTTTCTACACTAAATAGTAACTTTTTTGAGAACTGTTTTCCCTGTTATTTTCTTGAAATAAAAATTCAAAACCTACTTCATATAGAAGATGCAACAGAACAGCTAAACTAGTAAAAGAATAAATCATGGTAACCTGTTAAAAGTATTTCGTTACAAAAATTTACAGTTACTGATGTAATACGTTGGGTAACGAAGCTGAACACGATAAATTATTAATGAATTTAGGATATGAATTCAATTACGAAACGTAGGCAGTCACTAGGGTGTATAATGTATATATAATAGGTAAAATAAGTTCAACGTACTTTTGAAGTTATAAAGTTTAAAAATGTGAGAGATTTACACAAACTCTGAAATGCCATAACCTACATACATATATCGATTTTTGACTCTAATTGTAATTAGAGAAGGAAGAGATCTAATTAAATGTTTCTCGCGATTTTATATCAATTAAAAGTTTTAAAAATGGCAGACGTCTACAAACTACGATGGTAGGTATTTATCGTAAAACTTCCACCTCCGGAAAATGGAATCGATATCCGCTATTAAAAGTTTTGTCTATTGTAAGTACGTTGTTAGATTGTCACAGACTGACAAAAAACCTTTTGAAGTAATTATCTAGCATATCCTGAATTCACTAGCGTGAACATTTCAAGGAAAGCGTGAACACGGGAATGAGTAAGTGATGGTACAGAGATTGATTGTGATCTGACAAGCCATTACATGGGGTGTTCATAATAAATTTCAAAAATAGTATAATCGGAAATCTGTCGACTAATGGTAGATGCGATAAACACCTCTTAAGACTTTAGGGGTAGATACACAAGGGTAAACGTTTAGTATGTTTAGATAAAATGGAAGCGGTATTGATAAAACAGTATTGAAAATAAATAACAGTAAAACAAGAATATTGGTATGGAAGGGAAGAAAGTATGATAAAAGTGAGTATAAAGCTAGGAAATGAAAAATTAGAAAAAGTGACTGATTTTCGGTATCTAGGGAGTCAGATAATTCAGGATTCAAAGAGCAGCAGAGAGCAAGGTCGTGTCGCTTTTAACATAAAGAAGTCACTTCTATGTTCGCGATCTGTTAATTTAGAGATTCGAAAAGGATTGTTAAAGATGTATGTCTGGAGCACGGCGTTACACGGGTGTGAAACATGGACGGTGTACACGGCGGAATAGAAAAGGTTAGAAGGAGGCGTTATGGAAGTTGATAACAAATACGCGAGATAGGTTGGTAGGACACCTTCTCAGACATGAAGAGCTAATTAGAGACATTTTAGAAGTAGAAACATGAATCTCAAGGAGTAGAAGTAAATGTAGATTAGATTACTGTTCACAAATAGTTAAAGATGTGGGATGTTCTAGTTTAAGGGAAATGCGAAGATTATCTAACGACAGGAAAGAGTGGAGGTGCGTGTTCAACCAGTCTTAGGATTGACAACCTTATGATGAAGATGATGACGATTAGTATCAAGCATATGAAGATAGCACTAAATGTCATATATATTTAAGTATATGCAAGTGTAATCTCAGATTTAAAATATCTTTAATATTATACTTAATTTACTGAAAAATAGGACTAAACACCTAAAAGAAAGTTTTGAGATAAATAGGGAAAATAGCATAAATAATGTTACAAGATCATTTACATTGACTCTAAAACGTTGACGTGACCTTTTCAAGGAAAATATTGAAGAACAACTGTCAAAAGCTTTTACTGGATGTTTATTCAACATCGGTAAAACTTAAAAGGGTTATTCTAAGAAAATTTTATCGTTTGATGATTTTTGGATTGCTTTGTTTAGTATACATAAGGTTAAATTTTTGTGTTTCCTAAAAGACTAAAGCTGGGTAAGTCTTCACCAAAAGTTCAAAGCCCTTAATATAAAAGTATCAATTATTACATTTTCAAGCTCAAAGACTGTACCAATTACTTCGAAAGCAGTTTCATTCAAATTCATAAACACTTTGAGAGGGCTTTAACCGTTCACTGAGATTTATTTTGAATTTTACAAGTTCGGGGAAAAAAATAAATATTTACCTGGAAAACCGGGATTGTCAAATAAACTTGATTTTTAGATACAGTGCCCGCACCTTCTAGGAATTGTTTTCCTAAAATTTAACAAATTTTCGCTTTTAACTTTGACAAAGGGCGGAGGGAGGTTTGAACGAAAAGTTTATAAGACATTGCCGTCATCAAATCGTTTTTATTAAGTAATAGGTATGTATCTGTATGTACGTTTGTAATTTCATAACCCAATCACGTATTAATTCTATTTCTTATTAATTTTCGAATGTGCAGACAGTAAATCATGTGGAACAAGGACGTAATATCTAATTTTATGTTTAACCAATATTATAGCTACCTACAAAAATGGTTCTACAATTAAAACGCATGTAGAGGTAGTTCAGAATTCTATGGATTTTGACCTTAGGCTACGCGGTAACAAGACTTCGTCCGCTCATTGGTTTCTACATTTCTACATTTCTACTGCTTAAAAAAACAGTTGTATAGCAGTTCAGAATCCCATGGATTTTGACCTTAGTCTCCGCGATAACAAGACTTCAGCCGTCCATTAGTTTTCACATTTCTATTGCTTAAAAATATTGGCCATCCCTCTTTATCCGGAGCTTGTATAGCGAGAAACATACTACAATGAATGAATACGATAAGGTCCGCTCACTAGCAAGTGAGGGGGTCATGAGATTTTGAGCTAGCTCTAACATGATGTGATCATAATGCTTCGTACAGACACAAAATAATCGTAAACAGGGCCACCGAAAAGCGTTCGTTCTGATTCGTTGCTAATGAAATGTAACAAATAAAAATTATAACGTTAATTAAACGAGTCATTGGGTTTTATTTGTGATGTTGTGTTCAGGAGTGGATTTCCTTCGATATGCTGACTCATACCAACATAACTCAAGGTAACCGCTGGAAAAACTGCGCTGCGCGAGGTCACCGTAGGTATTAGAATTTCAAGAAGTATTTGCAGTCTTTTTGCCGCACTTTAGCGGTAAATTACCTCCGGGTGCTTATGTACGTATGTATATGTAAAAGCATTTGCATTCAAGAGAGTGCACATAGACAAAGGTGGTATTTTCTTTAATTAGCATTTAATGTATTGTGTTTACAAACAATTTGATTTGAAATTGTTTATTTATTTGCAGTCGTTTAATACCAAATTAAACCAAATTTTATTTACAAAGAAAAGAAGATCGGGAAGGAGTACGTAATAAGTTTTTACAAAGCAATTTATCAGTCCATTAAAAACAATTTCGTACTATTTTATATTTGCAAAATGAACGTTAAAAAAAAAAGGGGATGAAACTGTGTGGTTTAGAGGTGCGATTGGCACGTACCTGATTGATTCTATTTGTGATTTACCACATTAACAAACTTGGCACAACTTTCGGAATTCTACTTTCAATAGGTTCTATGTGTTTAATTTAAACTTTAATTGATTTTAGGACTCTAACTACATAAATTGTACAGTTAAAATGCAGTTTTTGATAAGTTACTTGTATAAATATATTGCAGTCTATTCTATAATTATCTAGACGTGATGTCATTTAAAATTTAAACAAAAAGCAAATGATACTGATACCTTAGGATAGTTGTTAGGTTATAACAATTAAAGAAATTACATTGGGCTTGGCCAGGCTTATTTTTTTAATGATGATTTGAAAATTTTTCAGCAATTTTTATATTCTTATTGTCTAATAAATAATTTAATTTTTAAAACACTGGTTAACAGAAACAGTAGAGAATAAGGAAAATGAAAAGATATATGTATAAGTACCTAATCACTATCAAAAACGAAACAATCTCACACGAGAACTTATTCCACTTGTATCAAAAATGAGACAAATTTTGCTAAAATTCATCGGTTTACTCACTCAATATTTATTACTTATCAATTTCTTTTTTGTTTCAGAAAATGATATTCGTGATATTTTTATTTTTATGGGGTTCGGTTAAATGTCTTCCTCAAGGAGCACCTACGAAGGTATGCGAAACAATGCTTCCGAATCACGGAGGCGGCATCCCACCCCAAACTGGTACAGCCCTATTCATCGTAACAACCCTTCGTAGACAGAATGACATCATCGTTACAATTAAATCACCGATAGAGGTACCTTTCCAAGGATTTATGCTTCAAGCTAGAGGTACCACGGGAAAACTTCTAGGAAAATTTGAGCCAATAACTCCAGGTGCTCACACCATCAATTGTAATGGAACCGCAGATTCCCTCACCCATAGCAATACTGACTCCAAAACAGCAATTGACACACATTGGTTTGCCCCCGATAACTTTGAGGGAACTGTTATTTTCAAGTAAGAAACATTTTCGTTTCGTCTCTATTGAATTTTTTTATTATTAATACTGTAATATTCGTGGGTTTAACAAAATTAACTTCTAAGACTGATAACGACAAAAACTATTTATTTACACTAGATTTAAAATATCTTTAATATTATACTTAATTTACTGAAAAATAGGACTAAACACCTAAAAGAAAGTTTTGAGATAAATAGGGAAAATAGCATAATAATGTTACAAGATCATTTACATTGACTCTAAAACGTTGACGTGACCTTTTCAAGGAAAATATTGAAGAACAACTGTCAAAAGCTTTTACTGGATGTTTATTCAACATCGGTAAAACTTAAAAGGGTTATTCTAAGAAAATTTTATCGTTTGATGATTTTTGGATTGCTTTGTTTAGTATACATAAGGTTAAATTTTTGTGTTTCCTAAAAGACTCTAAAGCTGGGTAAGTCTTCACCAAAAGTTCAAAGCCCTTAATATAAAAGTATCAATTATTACATTTTCAAGCTCAAAGACTGTACCAATTACTTCGAAAGCAGTTTCATTCAAATTCATAAACACTTTGAGAGGGCTTTAACCGTTCACTGAAATTTATTTTGAATTTTACTGGTTCGGGGAAAAAATTAAATATTTACCTGGAAAACCGGGATTGTCAAATAAACTTGATTTTTAGATACAGTGCCCGCACCTTCTAGGAATTGTTTTCCTAAAATTTAACAAATTTTCGCTTTTAACTTTGACAAAGGGCGGAGGGAGGTTTGAACGAAAAGTTTATAAGACATTGCCGTCATCAAATCGTTTTTATTAAGTAATAGGTATGTATCTGTATGTACGTTTGTAATTTCATAACCCAATCACGTATTAATTCTATTTCTTATTAATCTTCGAATGTGCAGACAGTAAATCATGTAGAACAAGGACGTAATATCTAATTTTATGTTTAACCAATATTATAGCTACCTACAAANCACCCAAAGTATTGAGCAAAGTTTACTTCACTGGCGTGCTTTCTCAGTTGTTTAGCATCCTTAGACATATTATAAAAGGCTGGATTTTACAGATTAATCTTGATATACATAATACATACAAATGTATCATCTAGTATCTCTGATCTTTTTTTCTTTTTCCATCTACCAAATTATGCTTAGATATCTATCTCTGAAAATTTTACTTTCGGACTCAACCGTCCAATCTATTTTTAGTTGGTTCTTGAAAATCAGACTTAAATAGAAAGCGCATTATTTACCTAAAGTAACCTTCGAAATCCCCCACTTCCTTTTGAAAGATAAAAAATAAAATTTAGTAGCATGCCAGAATGTTTTATGACCTTTAGTAGTTTAAAAAGCTATTGTATGTTCCAACCTACACATAAATATAATAAGATATTATGTTGTTGACAAATTCGGTTTTTAATCAAACTGAAACCCCTGACAAACTTAAACTTACAGATGTTTTTTTTCAAACAATAGGAAAGTACATGCTTCCACTGGTTAACCTAATGAATTATGTTCATTTATTAAGTTATCAATTGTGTTACCTTCACAATGAAACATCGCGCGTTACTTCAATAGCTATTGAGGAAATAATTATTATCGCCTACTACCTACATTTGACAGCCAAATGCGTATTATTTTATTGTTTCATTTACATTATCGTATAATACCAGCATTAAAACTACTTATAAATTATAGGTAAGTGAAAGTGCCTACATTATATTGTAAATTAAACAGTTTAAAATCACTCATCTATTGTAGAGGAATCATTTCATAGCGTTCGACCTATGTTTCTTATTTGAATTTGGTATTGTAATGTTCGTGGGTTTACCAAATTACCTTCTAAGACTGATAACGACAAAAACTATTTATTTACACTAATTATTAAAGAACTTAAAAACACTATTAAATTATTACTAAACTTAGATTACGAAGTATTCTATTTATTTACACTACTGTTGATATATCACTATTAACTGCGCTATTTATTTCACTGCTATCACTATCAATTTATTTCTGGATTCACTTCTGCAACAGTCAATTTATTTCTACTTCCTCTCGACGATCGTCGCTTCCTTTAAATACTCTTTTGTTTACTTTCGGGAACCTTCTGGAAACATCCGGATAGTTTATTTATTTCTTTGAACTGTTTAACTGCTTTCCCAGAACGCAGGTACGACACACATATTTACAAATACGGCGCACATGAAGAAAGGCTCCCGCGGCTGGTCGGCGAATCGATAAGCCGTTCACGGACACGTGTGCCCGATCGCACACAAACACACTCGTGCTCGCTACAATACGATACTGAGATAAACTAATTTAATGCAAAAAAGAAGTCTGTTATAATATTTTGAATACTATTGGTCTTGGAATGTTGGTTTATTTTGCAGATTTAGCAAAACTTAAGCAAGATTCTAGCAAAATTTTTGCTTAAATTCTAGTACGCAGTTCTGAAATAGAATAAAATAAGTGAATGAAAATTTTGTATCAGTAAATATAAACAAATTGCGTTATTGTTAGAAATTCGGTAGGCCAAGAGGCCACGAATCGTATGCCTAAGATAGTTAGCCACATATTCAAGATAGGGAAAGTCCGGAACGACTATAAACGAAACATGATAGTAGCTATACAAGAAAGAAAGGCGCGGATAAATGCGAGTTTAAAACAATGTAGGGATGAGATACAAAAATAGATTAGAACGATTAAAAACCTAATTCTCTTACAGATGATAGATCTAAAGTGTACAGTTGATTTATTAATTGAAATGTAGGAATTGCAAATAGATCGAACAGAGAAAAACAACTAAAAGTAATATCCTTCAAACACTTTTAACCAAAGAAATCAAAATTGTCAATATACAAAACAAGTTGGTAATTAATACCAGCTTTTAATAATATATTTTTACAGTTCTACGCATATAAATAAAACAAGTAAGTGGTAGTACACATATCACCATCTAAAGATAATAACTTTAATGCTAGGTGTAGTATTTTATTGGTCACTATGAAAAAAATACTCGAAGTTGACCACACTGAAATTTTGTTGTAGGTAAATATGTACATAATATTTATTTAAGTATTATATTTTCTACGTTGACTGTTTATTTGCTGGTTTTAATTTTTATATAAAATCGCAATTTATACACAATGACTAACCGGTGAACGCTAGTAGTGGATACTGTAAACAAGTGTGGAAATCTCTGTACTAGCGTGTTTTACATACAAGACTAAATTTGCTATAGTTTAGTGCGTGAAAATTAGATACTAGGATTTAATAATTCGAGCAACACAATTCTAAGAAAATTATCTTCTGTTTGTCACACTTTAGTGACTCCTTCGAATTTCATAATGTACGTAACAATTCCAACGAAGGAGTTGATTCATTAATTCAGGGATATTTACTATCAAATTATAATTCAATGTTAAAAACAAAATAATATTATCATCTATATTTAGTTGCATTTCAACTTTAGCATGTTGATTGAATTGAATATTAATTATTAGTAAACAATATTTCTTGTCTCTTTGCTTACTCTATAAGTAAGAAGTGTATAGTCTTTGAAAACAAACCATCAGAAAACTGTAAAGCATTGCCTCTGGAAAGAATTACAGAAACTTTATCTAAATATTTCAATTAATTAATTAATCGTATGCTAATGATATGAAGTTTGAAGAAAATTTAACATTGAAGATAAATATTTGACAATTAGATGTAATCCAAAAATTCTACCGCAATGCACATTTATTACTCAAGGTTAATTGGTATAATAGTGCACATAGACAAAGGTGGTATTTTCTTTAATTAGCATTTAATGTATTGTGTTTACAAACAACTGGATTTGAAATTGTTTATTTATTTGCAGTCGTTTAATACCAAATTAAACCAAATTTTATTTACAAAGAAAAGAAGATCGGGAAGGAGTACGTAATAAGTTTTTACAAAGCAATTTATCAGTCCATTAAAAACAATTTCGTACTATTTTATATTTGCAAAATGAACGTTAAAAAAAAAAGGGGATGAAACTGTGTGGTTTAGAGGTGCGATTGGCACGTACCTGATTGATTCTATTTGTGATTTACCACATTAACAAACTTGGCACAACTTTCGGAATTCTACTTTCAATAGGTTCTATGTGTTTAATTTAAACTTTAATTGATTTTAGGACTCTAACTACATAAATTGTACAGTTAAAATGCAGTTTTTGATAAGTTACTTGTATAAATATATTGCAGTCTATTCTATAATTATCTAGACGTGATGTCATTTAAAATTTAAACAAAAAGCAAATGATACTGATACCTTAGGATAGTTGTTAGGTTATAACAATTAAAGAAATTACATTGGGCTTGGCCAGGCTTATTTTTTTAATGATGATTTGAAAATTTTTCAGCAATTTTTATATTCTTATTGTCTAATAAATAATTTAATTTTTAAAACACTGGTTAACAGAAACAGTAGAGAATAAGGAAAATGAAAAGATATATGTATATATGTATACTATCAAAAACGAAACAATCTCACACGAGAACTTATTCCACTTGTATCAAAAATGAGACAAATTTTGCTAAAATTCATCGGTTTATTCACTCAATATTTATTACTTATCAATTTCTTTTTTGTTTCAGAAAATGATATTCGTGATATTTTTATTTTTATGGGGTTCGGTTAAATGTCTTCCTCAAGGAGCACCTACGAAGGTATGCGAAACAATGCTTCCGAATCACGGAGGCGGCATCCCACCCCAAACTGGTACAGCCCTATTCATCGTAACAACCCTTCGTAGACAGAATGACATCATCGTTACAATTAAATCACCGATAGAGGTACCTTTCCAAGGATTTATGCNCAGAGAAACAGATACCAGTTACGTCGCCTCGCTTTCCACCGTCGATTATTTTCCGAAAAGACGAAGAAGTTAAAGATCCATTTTATGATGGCTGTACAGAGATGAAAAATTGCTTCGGGGCACCGTTAGGATGCATAGCCACTCAGGTATGGTAACTGCTTTTGTTTTTTAGGAAGGAAAGTAAGTCTCCTTCTACTAGGGATGAACAAAATTAGCTTGGTGTTCGTTTTGCGAAAATTCAAGACCAATACTGTCTTTATATTAGGAAGACTAAGATCAAAACTCAACGAATAAGACTAAGACTAAAACCAAGACCGAATATGCTAGATCAAGACTAAATACGCAAGACTAAACGAAAGATTATTACTTCTGGTGGATTTATGAGTTAAACTATTTGAAACAACTTTAATATATTCTTTTCTTGGAACAAAACATTTTTAGTATTTCAAATTTTCAGTTTGCTTTATTAGATTTTAACACTAAATATAAAAAAAGGAATCTTCTCGGAGTAAATTTTCATTGTTCCCATGTCAGGATAACACAGTGCGGTTTAACAGCATACGTAAATCCAAAATCAAGCATTGAATGTTTTTTAAGGTTTTTAATTATAAGCCCACAGCTGGTGGACCAACTACAGTGAGACTGGGTTTGCAGAGAGATTGAAAACAAAACTATTGAAACAATTCGAATATTATTCAATTTTTACTTTATAAATAAAATAATTTTTCCATTTCATATATGTAATTCGATATTTTGCGGTGGTTTCTAAGATATGATGACAGAATGATTTTGAGAAGCATATGTGCCTAATGACAAACATACGTGCATATTACGTATGTACCAAATTATTTATTAGAATGGCACAATAATTTGCAGTGGCAGTGCTACTACTAATTGCTCTACCAGTTCCCGGTACCTAATAACAGAAGACCGCCGGCGTGAACGCGGAACATGTTTTATTCGCAATTAAGTTCATCAAATAGCAGACAAACGAGTTTCGGTCGTTCTGCTTTAACTGTTATTAATGTTGACAATTGTAGTTTTCGAATTAGCACATGTCAGACACACTTTTTGCAGAGCGTAGAAATCAAAATAACAATAATTACTGGTAGCAAATTTTCACTGTACAATGTGCATATGTTAACGGAAATGTGTGTAGTTTCTCTTTGTATACAATTCCTAGGAAATGTATTTATAGGGCTGTTCGGAAAGTCATTTCGTTTTTTCCCGACAGAGGATTTAATTGTATTCTTTTGCACCCAACTTCACATTTAAGCCGTATAATTTTTATATGCTTTGAGAGCTCATATAGCAAGGCTTGTGTGTAAAAAATTCCAATTAATTCTACGCAGTAGTTTTTGGTTGGTGCCCTTTTAAATATGGAGAACGATAAGCAGCATTTTCGACATATCTTACTGTTTTACTACAGAAAGGGTAAAAATGCTGTTCAAGCCAGAAAGAAATTGACTGATGTGTATGGAGAAGGTGTGTTGACAGTACGCCAGTGCCAGAACTGGTTCGCTAAATTTCGATCCGGCAATTTTGATGTCGAAGATGCACCACGTTCGGGAAGGCCGGTTGAAGCTGATAAAGACGCGATAAAGGCATTAGTTGATGTGAACCGGCGAATAACAACACGTGAGATCGGATTGAGGTTAAATTTATCAAATTCAACAGTTTATGACCACTTGAAAGGCCTGGGATTATCCTCGAAGCTCGATGTATGGGTTCCCCATGTTCTCACAGAGAGAAATCTGTGTCGCCGCATTGACGTCTGCGATTCGCTTCTCAAACGTCACGAAAATGATCCGTTTTTGAAGCGCATCATCACTGGGGACGAAAAATGGGTTGTATACAACAACGTCAAACGCAAGAGGTCATGGAGCAAAAAAGATGAACCGGCTCAAACCATTTCCAAAGCCGATATTCACCAAAAAAAGGTGATGCTGTCTGTTTGGTGGGATTTTAAAGGAATCGTTTTTTTTGAGCTTTTACCGGATAACACAACGATTAATTCGGAAGTCTACTGTCATCAGCTGGACAAACTGAATGATGCACTTCAACAGAAAAGGTCAGAACTAATCAACAGGAAAGGTGTAGTGTTTCACCAAGACAACGCGAGACCTCACACAAGTTTGGTCACTCGCCAAAAGCTTTTACAGCTTGAATGGGATACAATGCTACACCCACCATATTCTCCAGACCTGGCACCATCGGATTATTATTTGTTCCGGTCACTCCAAAATTTTTTAGACGGTAAAACCTTCACCTCAAATGAGGAGGTCAAAAACCTCCTCGATCAGTTTTTTGCCAGCAAAGACCAAAAATTTTATGAGCGTGGAATTATGCTACTACCAGAAAGATGACAAAAGGTGTTGGACCAGAACGGTCAATATATAATTTAATAAAGTATTTGTTTATTATACGAAAACTGTCTTTCATTTCCACAAAAAAAACGAAATGACTTTCCGAACAACCCGATAATTCCTAAAATCACTCGGAAATGTGTGAAATAAATTATATTAGACACATTTCCTAGGATATCTATACATTTCCTAAACAGCAATCGGAAATGTATTACATTCTTGGGGATAGCGGAGCGAAGGGAGGCGATCAAGCGATTTATTGTATTCATAGATAACTCTGATTCTCAGTTTACTAACCTGTTTTAATCATTTTATTCACAGAAAGCATTAGTTTTATACATTTCCTAGTACAATATCGGAATTTCATACAATTCTTAGGAAATGTATACAACTCCTACATTTCATACATTTCCAGTGACACATACACGTATTTGTTTAATAAAGAAAAAGAAGACATTGGTAAAAATGAAAATTAAAGAAAAAAATTTAATATTGCTTCCGATTTGCAAAATTCTAATTTTTTATAAAATAGAAACAAATAAATTCCCATATAAAACCGAGAACAAAATACTCGGGCAGAGTGGACCACTCTATTTATTATTATTTGGGGAAATATCTATAAACTAACAATTAGTTTTTAATATTGTCACATGACAAATTTGATTGGTATAATAATAGTAGCATTGAGTGATTATTACATTTAATAACCGATTATTATTATTAATCTATTATTTTCACAAACTGAAAATATTTGATTAATAATGTATAAATAATTAATAAATTAATAATGATCGCTTTATGAAATTTCCCTTTTAATACCAGGTATGATGAATAAAAAACACTTGGTTTATATGCATCACAAATTTATACCTGAAGTTAGTGTTTTTCATTCAACATATTTTTTATGTTTTTTTTAACTCTAGGATTGTGTTGCTGCAGTAACGGTGACAGTAAAAGGGGATCGATACATTTTCGATTTGAAGGCGCGAAATTCGGCCCGATGGGTTGGAGTGGGTCTATCAACTGACACGAAAATGGGAAACGATTCGGTTATCGAATGCGTTGACGAAGGAAATTCAATAAGCGCGTATATGTCAAGGACCACGTCCAGACCCAACCTTGGAGTGATCAGATTAAATAACGTAAGAAGCAATATTCCACATCTAACTTAATTAAAAGTTTCAACTAATCCTTGATCCTAATACTATCTTATCATACTTAAATCATCTATAGATATAGATAGTTTTGATATTTGCTATTGTACCTAAATTGGTACTTCTTACTTCTTACTAAACTACTAATAATTCTTTATAACGATGTCATAGAAACCGAGCAAGTTCTTTTCATTAAAGAGAATGAATTTTCGTTATAGAAGCCCAGGAGCACATTTTTCAGTACAACCATTACTTCTTGCTTTAAAGTTGAGAAGTGAAATGTTTGCCTTAAGGGACACAAGAAAAAACTAAAAACTGCCCAATTTTAATAATAATAACATTAGAAACATAATGGTAGTTTTAACATAAAAATGAAAACGGTTTTTATCTATTGGACGGAACATATAAGTCAGAATTAAAGAAAAACCATAGTACATTTACTAAATGAAAGTTTTATTAGGCGTAAAACTTTATTTTGATTTTTTTTTGATTTGACTTGTTTGAAATTATCCATTTAACCAAATGATGCGATTCTGGGTTCGTATATGTCTTCAATCCAAAGACTAGTTAGACACGTACCTCCACTTCTTTCTATTTTGACCCAATGTTCACACATTTCGAAAATTGGAACAATTTACATCTGACTATTATATTATAATCTACTTATGCCCCTCTTAGCTTCTATTTCTGCTTCTAATATGTCTCTAACTAATTCTTCATTAGCGCAGTCAGAATAACCAACAGTTTAAAGGTAACTCTCCTGGAACAACATCATTAACAACAGTTGGGGGTTGTGCAATGTTTTCGAGAGGAATTTTCTTCTAGGAGTCTTCGATCTCGAGTTATTTACAGAAATATGACCAAAAAAGGTAATTTTTCGGCCAATTGTTTAGTTATGGGTCCGCCATTAAAATTCCTCTCTTTGGAAGCATTGCGCGACCTCCAATTCCTGTTAACGATGTTGTTCCAGACCAATTACTACTAAAAGCTTGGTTGTGCAATCTTACAATCATTTGTCTTCGTCCACCGAATGCACTAAATGTCTGAGAAAAGGTCCTACCGTCCTATTTCTCCTTTTTCTTATCAACTTCCGTAGCGCCCTCTGCTCTCTTGCTCGTTTTGAAAATGTATATAAAAAAATTTAATTTTCAGCCTAAAGAAGGTATACAGTTGCTTAGAGGAGACAAACTAAACGATACAATACATTGTCAAGTTCAGCGAAATGCTGTGACAATTGTTGATGGTGTTAAATACGATCTTGTTAATAACCAATATAACTTGCTGGTAGCAGCAGGAACTGGAGTACGAGGTAAGTTCTTTGTTTACATTAAATTTAATATTCTAGCTAAAGTTTAGTAAAAGTATATACGAATGTAGCTTAAAAAATTAATACTCAAAAAACAAAAAAAATCTAACGCAAAATGCTTGCTCAATTTTGGGAGAAGAAATTATAGAGCCAAAATTTTTTTATTTGTACTATCCTGAATGGGACCACTGTCCAGAAAATTAGGAAAAAAGCATTTTGAGAAAATTCTCAAATTTCTCAAAATGCTTTTTTCCCCTTTCATACGAAATTACCCAAACTTGCAAAAACCAAATAATATGCCTGTTACAGTTTGTGGTTTTTAAGTTTGTTTATATTCCTTTATTACGTAAATTTTTAAGTTAAATCTGCTGTGTAGTTTCAATTTCCGATCAAAACGTACCTACTGCTTGTTCTGGACTCTGGAATCAATTTTTGCGTTTACAGATAACTCTGTTGGATTTCACGACTTGACAGCAGAACCTAGTTCTACACCTATATATTTAGCTGAAGTATCCGAAATAGTTGGTGCTTCAAAATTACTGTACAGACTCCACGGTGTCTTTATGGTAATAGCTTGGATTGGAGCGGTGTCGATAGGGACCATTCTAGCCCGGTACTACAGAAAAACATGGGTCGGGAGGACACTTTGGGGCAAAGATATTTGGTTCTCTGTAAGTTCGTCGATTTATTGACTATTTAACTTATTTTTATCTATTTCAACTCGAGTTGAATGTTATATATATATTGCTATTGATTGGAGATTTGTTAAAATGACGACCTTTTCACTAATTTATCGTAAAATTAGTGTTAATCTGTTTGATAAGCAGAGCCGGACTGAAGATTTTGGCCCGGGGTGCGATGTAACCAAATGGCCTGGTTTAGAAGGGAAAGTGCACAAATTTTAACAGCATTCGTTTTTAAATAAATTTAAGAAATTTGCGTTTGCCTTTGGCTCGGTCTTTGCTCTTGTTTTAAAATTTTATTAAGTTTTTTTTAATTTCTCTTTTTTTTCACATTTTTTGAGTCNGCTCTTGTTTTAAAATTTTTCTTTTTTTGAAAATTTTATAAATTATATTTAAAAATTAAGGATAAAAATCTTAATACTTTTTCGAGTATATAATATATTTTTGAGGAGATAATAATTAAATGAAAAGAGAGGTTCATATACAAATTTCAATATAAATGTTATTCGAATATTTTTTATTACATCACTTGAAAACTTGAAAGTTTTTTTTTAATTTCTCTTTTTTTCACATTTTTTGAGTCATTTAGCCCGGGAGGTATTTGGCTCGGGGTGCATTTGCACCCCTGTTTCCCGGACCAGTTCGGCCCTGTTGATAAGGTACAGAAAATTTGTTGCAAAACGAGAAACAATTGCTTATTGATAACTGCCCGATTTGTTCCGCTTTTGTTTTCGTTGTTTTGTTCACTTAACAGGTTATCAGGAAAACCTTGTCCTTACTTCCTTTTTTATTACAGTGGCATCGAAATTTAATGGTTATCACATGGGCCTTGACAGTTGTGGCGTTCATTTTAATCTTCATTGAACTTAAGGCTTGGTCAACAGAATCAAATCCGCATGCGATTTTGGGAATTTTTGTGACAATCTTGTGTTTTGTTCAACCTATCGGGGCTTATTTCAGACCACACCCTGGAACTGCCAAGAGACCTATATTCAATTGGCTTCATTGGGGAGGGGGAAATGCAGCCCATATTTTAGCAAGTAAGAACAAATACAGAGTCATACTTTCTAAATTTATAAGTACATACCTGTTCAAGAAGGAGCTCTTTTTGCATTTGGAGGTCCGTCTTTTTGATGATAAAAATTGAAAATGTTATTATTTCCACCAAGTGTCTTTAACTGTGTTTCAAAGTTGTTAAATTTTACTATACTTAAACACCACCTTGGTAGTACAATTGAAGTTTTAAATCGATGTTGAACGCTAATACATATATGGTTTTATAACAATACCCAATAGTGTTACGAAATAATTTTTGTTTTCAGTTATTACAATTTTCTTTGCCAATAGTTTAACCAAAGCAGAGTTACCCACCTGGTTTGATTGGATAATGGTGGCGTATGTTGTATTTCATGTTGCAATGCATTTAATTTTATCGGTAAGTTAATTTAAAGTTACTTTAGACACCATAGTTATATATTACTTACATACTTACTTACAAATGAACAAACAATACACTATTATCATCATAAGATTGTCAGTCCTAAGACTAGTTGGACACGCACTTACACTCTTTCCTATCCTTAGTCAATCTTCGCATTTCCCTAAAGCTAGAGCATCCTACATCCTTAACTATTTGTTAATTTAAGTTTACCTCTACTCCTCTTAACTCCTGTTACTGATTCTAACATATCTCTAAATAGTCCTTTTACCTTAACCTGCTAAGATATCCTACCAACCTACCTCGCCTATTTCTTATTGACTTCCATAACTCCTTCTATTCTCTTACTCTTTCTAATATCTCCTCATTTCTAACGCTTCTAACCTTTTCCTTTCCGCCATATTCATTTTCCAAGTTTCGCATCCATACAGCACTGTGCTCCAGACATACCCCTTTAACAATCTTTTTTAAATTTCTAAATTAACTGTTTGAGAGCATACAGTGACTTTTTCTTTGTCGAAGGCGACTCTGTGTTATTATTTATTTTATAGTTCTATTGCTCATTCCATCCTGAGTTATTTGACTTTCTAGATACCGATAATCAGCCACTTCTAATTTTTCGTCTCCTATCTTTATATTCCCTCTTTCCTTACTTCTTCTTCACTTGCACACCAATATTTTTGTTTTACCTTTATTTATTTTCATACAATACCGTTTTGATAGTACCGCTTCCATTTTATATAAAGCTATCTCTAACTCCTTCTTTATTAGATGCTAATACTGCTACATCACGTCTTCGATATGTAGATTAAAAATAAACTTAATTTTTCTTGATTTTGTTCCGCAGATAATGCAATGTGTTTCCGATAAAGCTGAACAGGAAACAAATGTGAACGTGTTTAGTATGAAGGAAATAAATGGATCCAGGAAAATGAATTCGATAGTTAACCAAGACGCGCCGGTAAGGATTTCTTATTAAATTTTATTGACGCGGCAAATGATAAACGATCTTAAGTAATTTTCATATTTGAAAATTTGCATTTTTTCATCATCATTTATGATCGATACAACAACGTTTGGAAAATAATCTCGAAGGCCATCTGCATACTAATAAACTACGTGGGTGGGTGGAAAAAAGATCATTTTACTATGCAAATTAAAGCAACATAAAAAGAAGGAAATTAAGTTGGAAACGCTAAAATTTGTTTCGATTTTATTCCAAAACGTGATAGGTACCGTTAAATAACTCAAGAGAGGAAATAGGCTGAAGACCATTACAAAAATACATTCTTTTTAAAACTAGGGATACTTAGGGTTCCGTACGTCCGAATGAATAACGGAACCCTTGTGTCTGTCAGTCAATTTGATCCGAACCTACTGGACCGATTAAGTTGAAATTTAGTACACATATGAATTTCTGTGACCCAAACACGGACGCATAACGTAAATAAATTAATTTTGAACATGGGGGTTATTTTTGGGGGGCCAATAGGAAATTAAAAAAAAAAAAAACTTTTGGAGACTATCTATCATGTGACATATCAAATGAATGGGCTTGTCGTAAGGGGCTTAATTATATATTTTTTATTATTTCAAAATAAATAGTTTTAAGGTTATTTAAGAAAATAGATGAAAATTGATCTTTCCCCCTCTTATCTCCGAAACTACTGAACCTAAAATTATGAAAAAATACAGAAAATCACTCGCGTATCTATCTGCCCGTTTTTTGGTTTATAATCAGGTTTATAATTAATACATTTTCCTTTTTTAGTATGCAAGTTCAAGAAAAGGCTTATTAGCAGTATATATGACTGGTGTCGTTGGTCTAGTCATCGTTCTGGTGATTGTTATATGCATTTCACCCATAAAATAAACTGTTACCTTTATGTATTAATACAATCGCACAAAGTTAAGTTTAGATACGTAATCTAGTAATTGACACAAAAGTATTTATTAATCTTAATCTATTTTTATTTTTTAAGTTTTTGTATAATTAACAAGTAAGTTATAATTTCTAAGTATATTTTAATAAATACGATTGTAACTATAGTACGTTTTATTCCAATTTCTTTTTACAATTCTTCTGAACATTTTTAACTTCTTATTTTTACTAGGTGCTTCATAGACGTAAAAATTTAAAGCAGTCAAAGAATATTATTGTTTTTAAATATTTTAAATGGGGTGAGGAGGGTTAATAGTTTTACTTGTAAATCGAAACGGATATCGATTAGAAGGGCTACTTTTAAGGATTCCAGAAATACTCTTTTCAAAAATTTTGGTGAATTGATGATAAATGATACAGTTCAAAACGTGTGAAAAAGCACCGTTTATTTAGGTTTATAAAATTAAAATGTTTATGTTACCACGGTTGCTACCTATTGAGTTAGTGCTAATAGGCAAACCATTGCTCATTGCTTTTGCAGTTAGTTTTTGAAATTGTTATATGGATCGTGCGAACCCGACTCGCTCTTGAGTGATTTTAAAGATTCATACTTCAAAAAAAGAATGCCTCTTCGCCTGCCTGTCTGTCTATCCGTCACATATATCATTGATGTTTAAAATAATTCGAAGTGGTCTGTATTCTGTCGAAACTGCCAGNCGTATTACAGAATTTCAAGCATGAGAATGTAGAAATGGATCCAGGAAAATGAATTCGATAGTTAACCAAGACGCGCCGGTAAGGATTTCTTATTAAATTTTATTGACGTGGCAAATGATAAACGATCTTAAGTAATTTTCATATTTGAAAATTTGCATTTTTTCATCATCATTTATGATCGATACAACAACGTTTGGAAAATAATCTCGAAGGCCATCTGCATACTAATAAACTACGTGGGTGGGTGGAAAAAAGATCATTTTACTATGCAAATTAAAGCAACATAAAAAGAAGGAAATTAAGTTGGAAACGCTAAAATTTGTTTCGATTTTATTCCAAAACGTGATAGGTACCGTTAAATAACTCAAGAGAGGAAATAGGCTGAAGACCATTACAAAAATACATTCTTTTTAAAACTAGGGATACTTAGGGTTCCGTACGTCCGAATGAATAACGGAACCCTTGTGTCTGTCAGTCAATTTGATCCATCCGAATCTACTGGACCGATTAAGTTGAAATATTGGTCACTATGAAAAAAATACTCGAAGTTGACCACACTGAAATTTTGTTGTAGGTAAATATGTACATAATATTTATTTAAGTATTATATTTTCTACGTTGACTGTTTATTTGCTGGTTTTAATTTTTATATAAAATCGCAATTTATACACAATGACTAACCGGTGAACGCTAGTAGTGGATACTGTAAACAAGTGTGGAAATCTCTGTACTAGCGTGTTTTACATACAAGACTAAATTTGCTATAGTTTAGTGCGTGAAAATTAGATACTAGGATTTAATAATTCGAGCAACACAATTCTAAGAAAATTATCTTCTGTTTGTCACACTTTAGTGACTCCTTCGAATTTCATAATGTACGTAACAATTCCAACGAAGGAGTTGATTCATTAATTCAGGGATATTTACTATCAAATTATAATTCAATGTTAAAAACAAAATAATATTATCATCTATATTTAGTTGCATTTCAACTTTAGCATGTTGATTGAATTGAATATTAATTATTAGTAAACAATATTTCTTGTCTCTTTGCTTACTCTATAAGTAAGAAGTGTATAGTCTTTGAAAACAAACCATCAGAAAACTGTAAAGCATTGCCTCTGGAAAGAATTACAGAAACTTTATCTAAATATTTCAATTAATTAATTAATCGTATGCTAATGATATGAAGTTTGAAGAAAATTTAACATTGAAGATAAATATTTGACAATTAGATGTAATCCAAAAATTCTACCGCAATGCACATTTATTACTCAAGGTTAATTGGTATAATATGCAAGAATTTGATCAAAATGAGTTTATCAAGTTAAAAATTATACCTATTTGAATATTTCAAGTGAAGATTTGAAGTTTTTACCCAAGAGCTTCAATTTTAAGTTTTAACTCGAAATTATGTGAAATCATTGTTAAAAATGTTAAGTTTAAGCAATATACATATACTTAATCGTTGCTGTGAATTGAGACTTGATAGTCGATAAATCTGGATTAAGTCATATATGTTGAAGACATTACTTTCACTCTACTCATCGCTAAAACTTTTTACCTGTTCGATATTGAGATACCTTGAATTTTTTTATTATTCAATTTATTAGTGAATTACATAATTGTCACAATCATTATCATAAGGTTGCCAATCCTAACACTGTTTCGTCACACATCTCCACTCTTTCCTATCCTGAGCTAATCTTTGCATTTCCCTAAAACTAGAACAGCCTACATCCTTAACTATTTGTGAACAGTAATCTAATCTAGGTCTACCTCTACCCCACCTNATACGTAATCCTAAAATGTAGCATCGTGCTACAGATGGCGTTTACTGCGCCATTTGTAGTATTTTCTAAAACGCACTGTTAAGACAGCAGGTAAAAGTTGGTCTGTGTTCTGTCGGAGTTACCTGCGACGCGCTGATGAGATCCAAAAAGATCGAAATCGCGATCCGCGTCTGACAGTTTCGACACAATACAGACCACTTCGAATTATTTTATTCGATTATGGTAACGTGCCTATCACGTTGAGGTTGGCTACGCCGGGATTCGTTTTCAGCAAGTAGATATCCACACAAGTGGGCCTTGTTGGAGCATACGTAATCCTAAGATGTAGCATCGTACTACAGATGGCGTTTACCGCGCCATTTGTAGTATTTTCTAAAACGCATCATTGATGTTTACCAAAACTCACAGGATACTTGTACAATTAGCTGATCGAGAATAATCAAATTTGAATTGAAGGAAAATTTTATTGTGTAAATTCAGGAATAATTTTGAAAATCATGAAGTTCAAATTAATCTGGTTTTGTGTCTGTCAAAAGTATCACTAATCGTTAAAATCATTAATGAGGCACTTAGGATCTCGAATTTTGAATAATAACTCAAAGAAAATCTGAAGATCACGAATTACAAAATTAAAAAAAAAGTTCTGTCGGCATAGTGAGCAGTATGTTAAAATTTTAAGGGCTCGAAAAGGCAGTTCTATACATCGAAATAGTTCGAGGAAGGATACCACTTTCGCGGTAGAATGATGGATATCAAATGATAGACTATGAAAGAGCGAATTCAATTAATAGTAATTACATATTAGTCAATATTTATTCTAATTAGGAAACTATATTTTATAAATTAAATCGCCACAGAATTGTTTTTAGTTTTATAGAATTCGGAATGAAATGTATTGATGACAATGTTATCATATTAAATTGTTGTCCGGGATTTTATTGATTCCAACGAATATTTCATGAAGTTAGGGGTTGAAAGAAAAGCAGTAAATTTTACCGTTCCCCAGCTAGTTTTCCCCTTAATATTTCCGTACAGGGATAATAGAGGGAGCTTTGAAAAATCGACTAACAACCCTCAAGCGAATGCGACGCTGCCGTGGACTGGAGTATTGAACGATTCCAGTCTAGAAGGGTAGTCGCCATAATAGAGCGTCACCAGTCGTCATCGTCTCCATGTATCCGGCGAGCGTCGCGACGCCAGTATAAGTGAACAATATTCGGCGTATTCGGGGAGTATTTAGCATTCAACAGACGTTGTACCTTACGAAAAAGGTACGTTTTTTCATTGACAGATTGTTGATAAAAATTTTTCGAAACAACCACGTGCAACTGTTTGATGCCTCGTAGAGTATGGAAAGGACAATGCGCTTTTACAGACTAAGTTTGAGTGAGCGCTTTCAGGAGTAATAATAACAATGTCTAGTGTCGGACTGGATCTTACTCGAGGGACCAATAAAACTATGATGAACTCCGTTACTGTTTTATTGTTAATATGCTATCTGTTGTTGCTAATAGACATCGGTTATAGTTCCTTTGATACGGACGAGAATGCAGTCAACAAGCTACAATTCGAAGCTGCCTTTCAAGGTCTGTAATCCTTTAAATAACATCATGCTTTTATTATAAAAATAAATGTGAAGAAAAGTTTTGCTACTAGAACTTGGGACACAATATTTTATTCGATTTACTGCGGCTTCAAAAGTCAAACTTACTGCTAGTAGGTATGTTTGTAAAAAGCGCTCCCAAATTTCCCTAATTTTTTCCGGGTGTTCAACTTCTAGTTTATTTCCTGAATTCTTTATCATAAGAAGCAATTTTATTTAAAATTTCTGAAAAATTAAAATCAAAAATTCAAAATTAAGATCATAGAACTAAATTTGTGGTTCGGTATTAGTTTAATAAATGTAGTTTCTAGATAAGAAATTGGTTTCCTTAAGGATGGATTCGCAATTTAGTTCTGTTAATTTAAATAACTCGAATTTTGTTTTTCGTATTCTTTTAATTTGTAATGAAATTTGCGTGTTTTTTTCAGTGTAGATAAACCTGCCACTATACGTTTCATTTCTTAAGGAATGCATATTTCAAGGAATTTTCTCGAGGAAATTTATGCAAGGAAATGAACCTCGTAATTTTTTGTTTACATAGCAAAATTTGTACTTAACCATTCTTTTTATTTTATTAAGGTAATAGCTATTTTCTCAAGAGGACTCTTAATTTTAAAGAACATATCTTTTCAATTGATACATAATTCCTATTGGCAATTCTATTTACATACACAAATGGCTATTTTAATATGTCTGTGGTCGAATTACTGTAAAATGTTTACAACTAACATAAATTGATTCTGGTACCTAACTGTTTTATGAATGTAAATACTGTACTTGGAATCATCATCATCATCCTAGGGTCGTCAGTTCTAAGACTGGTTGGACACGTACCTCCACTCTTTCCTATCCTGAGCTAAACTTTGCATTTCCCTAAAACTAGAACAACCCACATCCTTAACTATTTGCGAACAGTAATCTAACCTAGGTCTACCTCTACCCCTCCTAACTCCTGTTTCTGCCTCTAATATGTCTTTGACTGGCCCTTCATGCCTGAGAAGGTGTCCTACCAACCTATCTCGCCTATTCCTTATTGACTTCCATAGAGTCCTCCGTTCTCCTATTCTTTCTAATACCTTTTCATTTCTAAGCCTTTCTACCCACGTTATCCTCATATTGGTTTTTAAATTTATAATTACCATTCATAGTACAAATTTAAAACAGTTGTCCCTGGATCATCGGATTAAACGTTGGAGAATTGTTAATAAAAATATGTCTTTTATCTGAATTAGTTTGAAATTGTATTAAGTTTAACACATTAATACGAGAGAGAGAATTTATTAATTATTGGCTACTAACCAAATTTCTAGAATAATATTCAACCTCGAGGATAATACTCTAACTTCAGTTTATCCCCTTTTGTATAATCAATCAAAACCAATTTCAATTTGAGTTAAAGTTCCCAAATAAATAAAGGATAAACGGTATTCGAGGTCCAACTAATTCCGAAATATTATTACGGCAGATGATGGTCAATAAACTTTTATACTTGTTAAGGTTAGAGGTTATCGGCCTATACAATTTCGTACTTCCGGTTCCTTTGATTTCGGAGAAATTGTTGGCTCGTCGCCATACGAGCGATTCTAGAAACGTATCATATATTAAGCGATTTTTTTTATATTGATGGTGAGGTAATTGTTCGTGGATGAAATGCTTCTACCGAAGTTTAATCTAAAATTACCCTAACATTGATATGGTATCAAAAATTTTTATTGAAATGGTGTATCATAATGAAAGCTAATAAGACGAACTATTTTTCTAGTTTTATTAACAATAGCTATTATGACATACTAAAAAAGCTTGTTTTAAAATTTTTCATAGTGGTATCACAACCATTAAAACAAAATTCAGATTTTTTCTAACTGTTTGAATATTACAGAATAGTATTTTTGAAGATTTCGTTGGCAATTGTTAACCGACTTTAATGATTATTTTATTAATGGTGGTTCCATTTAAATTTGAAAAAAGTATTCCGCCTGTAACTACTTGAGGAGTCTACTCAACCTCGTCATTTCCACCTGGTCTTTCTCTTTGTGCTCGCTACATTTCAAGTGGTAACTTTTTAGTTAAAGCTTGTGCAATATGTATTGACGAAGTCGATTTTTATACGTACCTCAATTATTAATTTTTTGAGTGAAACCTAAACAAATATTTTTAAAATATGTTCTTAATAAATAATAGATGCTCTTTTAATCCTACATCTTCTTTCGGTCTTATAGGTTTTAATATAAATGTAAACGGCATATTCCAGGTTCCAGGTTCCATTTGATTTGGATGTTGTAGTGCTATAGTATTTTGTATTGTTTTCTGATTTGTAATCAAGGTATTGTTTGATAATTTTTCCTACCAATATTATTACATTGTACATTTATTTGGCGAAACTTCTTAGTTTAATTTATATTTTTAAGATTGATACTAACACTAACTCATTTTTCATCGTGGCCCGCCGACTTAGGCAACTGAATAAATGAAAATATTAATAAATAATATAGCGAAGTATTACCTCGATTCATATTTTTCTACATTACGTAAGATGAAAAATGAAGAGCGTTAATCATGTTTATAGTCTTGGCTCAAGTGTAGATAGGTATTTTTGTTAGAGACGTCTACATGAAACCTTATTATTTCATTCAAGTTTACACGGTAAAAAAAAATAAATTGCATTCATAATTCAAACTAAATGAAAAAATGTACGAATGTAGAAATCTTAAATTTCGTTTAATGAGTAAAAAACATAAGTTGATAGATGTTACGGCGTTACAGAAGACGTACAAAAAGAATGATAATGGCTCTACAAAAAGCATTGTGCTATATATGTACATATGCGTGATAAGGAATTTCGTTCCAAAAAATATTGAATAAAAATCACATTTCGAAAATGTCAACAGCGGAACACGAATTTTACAAAAGGTATATACGAAAAAACCACGATAAAATCGAAATTTACTGAACTTTAGGTAATTTACGAATGACGTATTTCAGCTATTCTATTTGTATGTTATGAAGAAATGAAAGAAATTTGTGTTTATTTATTAAAATGGAAAGTAGAATTACATAATGGTTCATTAACGTATCAGACTACTGTAGATGTAAGCAATAAGAAACGGCCAAACTTTTGAAAAATTGGTGACTGCATGTGAAGAACTCAATTATAAACCGAAATAATTATTTATTTTCATGTCGCATTGCAGTTTGTTATAAACAAGATTATAAAAGCTAAAAATTAAAATTCTGGACCTGTTAAATCCTGTCGGTAACAGTAAACGATCAAGTTTGGGATAGTCGTACATTACCATCAAAATGGAGGGTGTCGAGCAACGAGTGGTGATTATATACGTGCGTTAAGACAGGATAAAGAAAATTTTCTAACAAGGCTTGTGACAATAGCCGAGTTCTTGATCGATCATTACGATGTAGAGTCCAAAATACAGAGAAAGTAATGGGCCCATGAGGGTTCACTACCGCAGAAAAAAATCAAGATGCAACTTCAGCAAAGAAGGTAATGTTATCCGTATTTTGGGATTCTGAAGGTGTTATTTTAGTAAATTTCCTGCAGAAAGGGGCTACAATCACAGGTGCTTATCGTGACAAATTAATTACGCTCGTTGATAAAAGAAAAACGCCGGGGAAGTTGCGTATAGATGTTCTCTTACATCAGGTTAATGTCAAACATCCGTCGCTGCAAAAGCTATAATAATCAAGGCGAGCTTCGAATTAGTTCAGCATCTGCCATATTTGTCGGATTTGGCTCCCAGCGATTACCGACTATTTATAAATTTAAAGAATCCTTTCGTAGTAGACGATTTTCGACAGATTATATGGTGATATTTGCGGTAAGTCAGTAGCTTTCATAGACTGAAAAATCTTTTTTCCAAGAGGCGTTAGAAATTAGTACGATGCTGCAGCTCCGACAGAACACAGGCCAACTTTTACCTGCTGTCTTAACAGCGTAACATCGTACTACAGATGGCGTTTACCGCGCTATTTGTGGTATTTTCGAAAACGCGCTGTTAAGACAGTAGGTAAAAGTGTCTGCGACGCGCTGATGAGATCCCAAAAGATCGAAATCGCGATCCGCGTCTGGCAGTTTCGACAGAATACAGAATTATTTTAGGCGTTAGAAATGCCAGAACATCGATGGTAAGAAACTATTGACTTTAATGGACACTTCATTGAAACATAAATGTATAATAATTCTAATTTTGTTATTGTAAATAGATTAATTACTTTATTTGCCTTGAATAAAAATATAAAGCGAAAGAATGATGAAGTAAATAAAGTGTTGTAGTATTTCGGGTAAGTTCTCTTGGTTTAATTATTTATCTTTGTTTTTAACCTCTTCAATTCCGGTTTCCACAGAAATTTAACTGATTTGCACTGCATGACCGAAGCGGCGTCAAGATTGTTATTGAGGTCATGTAAAAGGATAATAAGAGACGTAGATCGGAACCAAATTCAACAATTCACAGAGTTTCATTAGCGTTCGAATGACCGCATTGCAGAATGCACAGCACGACGCATCCTTGTATAGTTAAAGATATTTCAGTTCAGTCGTCTTGTAATATGCAATATGCTAAACGTTATACTACTTTTATAAAACGTCTTGTCGTTCTGTAAAGTGCCCAAATTTACAATTTTATCTGCTACATGTTCGTGCAATTCGTATTACAGAATTTCAAGCATGAGAATGTAGAATAGAGAGATATTAGACCACTGGTATGAAAAGTATTTAATATAAATGTCATTTATATTTACGTATAAGTATAATTATTGAAACATATTTACATATTTATAAAAATAAACTGCTATTCTTTTTTTTAACGAAAAAACGTTCTTAGATTATATAATCACTAATCGTGATAGTGAAAAATAATTAATCACCGAAAGACAAACTGAAGATTGGGGCATCACAGTGTACCTATTTGTGGTAACTGAAATTTAAAAGTGCAATCATAAGATTGTCAGTCTTAAGACTGGTTGGAT